GGCTTTGGCAGGGAGCGTGCCAGGTATGATGCTGGAGCCATGCCCTCTGTGGCACTGGCCACTGTCAGGGCCTGGCCACTGGGTCCTGGCAATGGCTGATACCATGGAGGCCACTGGACACACACCGTGTCCCTGCTGGGTGTGCAGGGGGTGCCCAGTGGTCCCTTTCTGCCACGGGGGCTCACAGGGACATGCCTGGCAGTGTGACCAGCTCTGAGTGGGGACAGCCACCACAGGACACTCGGACAGGGATGGCACACAGCGCCAGGCTGGTGGGGAGGGAGGCATCCCATGGGCTGGAGGGGTCTGTGGCAGGTACAACGTAATTAGCCTCAGTATTTATCTTGTTGTTCATCTTTTCTATTTTTTCTTCTAAAAGAAAAGGAGAAAAAGACGAGTTTCTCATTTGCAAGTTAATTAGTCTAATTACCTCTAATTAAGGGCTCCCCACACAATGCAGATCACAAATAAGCTGCCACTGTCGCCTGCTCCCACTCTTTTCTCCCCAGTTTTGATTTTCCACAGGAGCTGTTTGAAGGCTGTGGTGAGAACCTGGGTGTGGATGGTGGCTAGGCACAGCAGGGCTTGTATGGAATTTGGGAACAGCACCCAACCCCTGGCAGGCAATGCCCACAGCACTGCAGGGCCCACCACAAACTCTTCACCTGCTGGGATGCTCCAGGCAGTGAGGGGGCACACTGCTCCCTCCTGGCCCCTGGAATGCCAAGGGAGGTGGTGCAGCTTAAAGCCCTGCCAGGGCTGCCCATGGCCAGTGGAGGGGTGAACCCTGCAGCAGCTCACAGCTGCCACCCACAGCTCCCAGCCTGCTCAATGCAATGGCATGTCACTGGGTCAGTAGCCATGGCACGGCCAGGACTGCACAGCCTCTGACAACATGCTGCTAGGCTCACACCAGCACTGGAAGATCCAGCTCCCTCCTTGGACATCTAGTTCTCCTGTGCCCAGACACTCTTCCCAGCCTTCCCAACACTGGCACAGCTCCCTACGCCCTCCCAGCACCCAGCCCCACACCTGCCTACAAAAACCAGTGGCACTCAAGTGACTAACGCCCTTCCCGGGGGGGTACAGTGCCCCTTGGTGCCCCTCTATGGAAGCTCACTATCCCACAGACACAGGAGCCCTCATCCCTGTGGGGAGAGCAGCCAGGCAGCCAAGTGACCCTGAAACTCCTGGAGGTGCCTGGGGTGCCCAGCTGCAGCACCCAGCACCCTGCCCAGCCCTGGCTGCAGACTGTGGAGCTGGCCTGGCCTGGGGGCTGCAAAGACAATCATATTTCAAAAGCATCTTCCTGTGTGGATGGTGGCCCCTGAGTGGGGGCAGCCCCAGGGCCAGGGATACTGCAGCTGGTGGAACTGGTGGGGGTGGCCTGAACCCACTCTTCTAATTAGCTTTTCTTTGTTACACTCCCCCCTCCAACTGCATGTGATGGTTTAAAGAATGACAGATACTAAATCTAATTTAATCTACTCATTCACCCATCGCTATAGCATAAAAATAGGAATATACCTATAAAAAGAGCATTGCCAGGCAGTGTGGGCCAAAATCACAGCTATTGTGGGAAAAGCAGCTTTGCAAAGCTAAAATGAATGTCAGTGTTTTCAATACAAAAGAACCGAACCAGGAAACATGTTTTTGGGGCTTTAAAGCCTGTCCTCATGGAGCGGGGCAGCTGCCACAGCATGGCCAGAGCCCGGAGCTGCCATGCCAGGTCCGCAGCCGTGCGACGCCTGGGCAGGGGGAGAAACCCAGTTTGAAATGAACCCGCTGCTGCAACACGCGGCAACACCGCTCGGAATAGACCTGCTCCCTAAAAATATAACATGCTAAACTTGGCAGCAGCCCTTTTGGAAAGGAATTTTCCAAGCAGGATTTGCAGAGGCTGTTTCCCGGCGGGCTAGGTGCTGCTCAGCCAAATCTCCTGTGCCATGGTGTGACTGCGAGCAGCGGGGATGATCCCAGCGAGGAGCATCCCAGGGGCAGCACTGCAGGGCTTCAGCACACCTGTACATCAGCCTGGGCTGGGGTCAGACCTGCACGTGGCTGGGGCTGCACCAGGGCAGTGCCAGGGCACGGCACTGATGCTGAGCCTCAGAGCCCAGGTCTGCTCTGGGTCAGCACTGAGCCCTGTCCTGCAGCCATCACCTGCTCACTCACAACAACATCAGAGATGTGTTTCAAGCAGTGACTGAATCCTCTGTTAACAAAACGAAGCCACCAAAAAGTCCTTCCACACCCCGACCCTCACTGAGCAAGAGCCAAATGTCCCTGCCAAGTCCCACCAAAGATGGGGGCATTCTCGCTGGCCCAGGCTGCTCTGCTGCAGACATGCACCCACCCTCCCATGGCCCCTGCCCTCCAGCCCTCCAGAAGTCCTGGTCTTGGAGCACGACAGTGTCAGGAGAAGTTGCTGGGCACAGTGTGGCTGCACAACCTGGAATGCCACAGACCACGGCTCCTGCAGCCAGGCCAGGGTGGCCACATGGGAGAACTGGAGCAGAGTGAGCTGAGAGGCACCCAGAGCACCTGGAAGAGCCACTGGCACTACTGAGCCATCCCTGGTGCTGGAAGAACTGAAGTTTTGCTGAGAATTTCATTACTTGGTCATTCCTTCAAATCCCAACATAGCTGAAAATGCTGGGGCTGGGAGCTACGGAACATCAGCAGCATCCTCGGGAACCAACCCAGCCACAGGCTCCTGGCAGGGAGAGCACTGTGTGAGCTGAAGGGGATGAGGGCAGTTACTGCATGCAGACCCAGGCATGTCCCAGCTCTTGACGGACTGGCCAGCCCAGCAGACTCAGTCCTGGGCACTGGCTCAGGCACTTTATCATGGTACACCTCCTTACAAACCCATAAAGGGTTTGGACAGGAACCTGTAACCCAGGGGGTCACAACCAAGTCCCCCCAGACCCCATGGCACAGTCAACTCAGGGAGAGTTGAACTTTCTCAGATGCCCCTGCTTACACAGAGGTGAGCCAGGCCAGCTGGCCAGAGCCAGCTCTGAGGTGGGCACGTGCCCAGAGGCAGAAGCAGCCTTGCTCCTGTGTGCTCCTAGGGTGCGGGTGGCACAGGTGGACAGCCTAAAACTCGGTGCAAATTCAGAGCTAAAGCAGGTGCCAGGCACACCCATTGAGGGGCCCATCAGCTGCGCAGGGCCCATGCCTCTGCTCCATGTTCTGGCCGCCAGTGACGTCCCTGTCCCTGACGCCTGTTGTGACATGCAACAGGAATACCTGTCTCCAAGTGCTGGGTGCAGAACCTCAGCACAGGATAAACCCCAGGCTGAGGATGGAGATTTTCACCTCCATCGTGCTCATCAGCCGGGTAAAAATCCAACTCCAAATCCTGTAATAAAACCCTCCTCCTGGCTTGCAAGTCCAGAGCTGCTGCCAAGGAGCAGGAGGCTTCTGGGAGAGCAGGGAGGAAGAGATGCAGAACACAATGGTCAAATCAAACCAGGCAGGGGGAACTGGGTGCAGGGTGCAGAGCCATACACCCAGGAAAGTTGCTGCTTCCCAGGGACCCGCAGCTCCACTTTTCCCAGCCCTGCCGGCACTGCGAGCATCCGTCTGGCCGTGCTGCCACTACTGGTGCTGCCAGACTCAGGCCAATCCACGCCAGAGTGCTCCGCAGGGCAAGAGAGCAGAACAGCTGAGCCCCTCATGTGGCCAGGGACAGGGGGATCCCAGCTGGAGAGGGACATTTCCCATGCTGCAAGACAGGCTCTGGGCCCTGCACTGGCTGCCAGTCCAAAGCGTCCTCCACAGGGACAGAAACCATCCCTGCACGGGTGGGAGTTCGGGGACAGCTTTTGCTCAGTGTCAGATGTGCAGCAGCCACAGGGACCACAGTACAGTTTTGGGAAGAGTGAAATCCAGCGCAGCCCTGGCTGTCCCCGGGCTCTGCCCGCAGGAGGGTGCAATAAATCATGCGCCCGCCTCGGCAGCCCTGCCGCAGCCCCTGGACACCCCGTGCCCATGCTTGTGCAGCCACACCAGCCTTCCCAGCCCACCACCAGCGCGGGAGAGGGACCTGGGCCTCGCCATCCCCACCACTGCTGGCCATGCTCTGGCCATGACCCCACTTGGACACCGGCCACAGACATCCCAAGGGACCAAACACTCCACAGCCTTTCTCACTGGGGTGGAGGGTTGGCACCCGTGTGCCTGTCCTCGCCGCTGGGTGAACCGCGCCGGCCACGCCAAGTGCAGGGAGGATGCCATGAATTTTTAAACTCTTGAAAGCACAAATGGAGTGGTTTGCCTGGCTGGGAGACGGGATTTCCGATGCAGCACAGAGGCATTTGAGGAAGATGCTGCCTTTCCCAAGCTGCGCTTCCCCTGGGATGATGGGCCCAGAAACCCGGCACTCAGGGTCCAGCACAGGAATCAGGGTAGCTCTGTGGGACAGCAAAACCTTGGCCCAGGTGAAGGACCACACTGACCTCAGCAGCCTCCGTCTGGGCTGCCCCAGCTCGGCACCCACCTGGCACCACGTGTTCCCAGTCCCCCTGCAGCACCTTCCAGTGACAGCAGGACAGACCCGCGCCTGCCCGAGCGCAGCGTCAGCACACGCACACATACGTGTACACACGTGTGCACGCACGAGCTCATCACCTTCCCTTCTGCTCAGGCCACACAGGAGCCTCGTTCCTTCACCCGAGCATCCATCATCGCCAAGCGGCAGCAGCGCCGAGGCGGGGAGGTGCTGGACCCGCACCGGCGGCTCTGCCTGCCGCACTGCCCGCGCCTCTGCCCCGGCCGTGCTCCTGCCAGCACGGCGGGGAAGCCGGAGAAACCCCAAAAGCCGAGCCGAGGACCCGAGCCGCCCCAGCGGCAGAACTGCCGTGGGGCTGGAGTGGGGAGGCTGGCAGGAAGCTGTCAAGCTCTTACCCTCTACCAGGAGGGAACCAGCCAGAAACACGTGCGAACCGGAAAGCACGGAAAGCAAAAAAAATCCCCTGGAGAGGGTGGCTTACCTGTTGGAGGTAGAGGAAGGCTGGAGGACAGGGGAGAGAGTGAGGAAGCATGCCTGAGTTGGAGACAAGGAGGCAGCCCGAGTTAGCCATGGAGCACAGCATGTGTCGACAGGTAGCCGTGGAGCTGTTCGCGGGTCCGTCCTCTTCCGCACACTGCTATCCACCGCTATCCTCGTCTTCCCGGCTGGCCCCTCGGGCTCTCCCCTCCTCGCCGTCCCTCCCGACCCCTCGGCGCTAGTTAGGAGGGTTCATCTGCGGCAGGCCGGCCGCGCCGCCGCCGGAGCAGCGCTTGGCTCTTCACTTCGGGGCCATTAGACACTGGCACTGAGCGCACGGTCTGCAAAGGGTGTGCGTGAGCCAGAGCGGAGCGGGAGAGAAAGGAAGGGGAGGAGGAAGGAGAGAGGGCTCGGGAGCGAAATAAAAGGGGTGGGAGTTGGAGGAGGAGGGGGAGTCCCCTGTGCATTCAGACATCAAACAGAGCTCTGTATAAAATGAAGAGAATCCGTAATGACATGAGAACAGCTGATCCCGCACTTAACCCCTCCAGCGCCGCCGCTTTGCAGATGGCTTCCCCGCCGCCCTCGCCACCCCGGCCACACGCTGGGGAAGCATCCGGGCAGGACGGGGCCGGGCGGGCAGAGCCATCTCCCTTCGCGGCGCTGGCTCTCCCCGGGGAGGAAGGCTCTTACCGGGAGTTCCGGTGCTGCAGCGCGGTGCCGCGGGAAGCCGTGCGGGCAGCGGCGGTGGCAGGGCTGCCGGGGACTCCCCCGTGCACACTCCGCCGCACACGTGCACACCGCCACGCTCTCGCTGCGAGACGCCGGCGCTGCCGGGCCCGGGAGCCGTGCAGCAGCCCCAGCCCGCAGCGTTCCCCGCCGGACCAGCCACACCTCACTGCTGCCCGCATGCCCCGGGCACCACTGCTCAACCCTGCCAAGGTGTGGGAGCCCCAGGCAGGGCCCTGTGAGCCCCCCAACCGCCTGCCAGTCTCCCAGGCACGGAGGGCTGCGGGGACCCCTGCCCCTTGGGGTGACGCGAGGGGTCCTGCCCACTAGCACTGGCTTCCCGGCGCTCCCCAGAGCGATGGGGACCCTCTGCCCCAAGAAGCGCCCGCTGGCGGGCAGAGGTCAGCCCCGGCAGAGCTCCGGAGGTGTTCTGGCGTTTTCGAGGGCCCTGCGGTGCTGCCAGCAGCCCTGACGCATCCACACCACACTCGCCGCTGTCACAGCTGCCATGGCAATAGCCTACGTGCCAGTGCCCGCGAGGGACAGCCGTGTGTGTTCGCTCGGGTCCCGTCCCACCTCCACCCATCCGGGCCCCCAGCAGCCCCGGCACTGCCGCGGGGTCCCTGCCCGGTGCCCACACCTCGGTGCAGCCCCGTGCCCAGCTCCGGAGCCATGACAGTGCCGAGGCTGCCAGGCTGGCATTGTGCTGGGGCATGTAGGAAACGAAACCTGGGCTCGGCTCAGTTTCCATCTTGGCCAAATGTGATGCACAAAGGCAGGGCTGTGCCAGCAGCTGCTGATGCTCTGTCTCTGCCGGAGCCTCCAGCACACGACCAGCCGTTCGGAGCTGGGATTTTCCACAGTATCCCCAGGCAGAGTGACATGCTGCAGTGTCCTGGTACACTCGCAGCAGTTACGGCTCCTGCTGCAGACACTCCAGAGAAGCAGTGTGTGGCATGGCCAGCCCAGAGCCACAGGAAAGCCTGCTGCACACAGGTCCGGAAGAGCCATCCTGAGAATGGGCTGTGTGAGGCCAAGGGGGTGGCAGCCCCTCCCAGGGTGTCCTGAGATTGGGGGGAACACACTCCAAAGGGACTGCAGGGACCCAGATTAGGGAGGGGATGCCAGGCCCGGAAGAGGCTTTGTCACCACCACCACCTTGTGGTACCAGGCACCAAAAAGGTCCAGCACTGGCATCTGCTGCCAACAACATCCCCAGGCACTGCTCCCTGTGGGTGCCCACCGCAGCCACTCCCCTTCCAGCTCCAAGGATCACAACAGATGCAGTGGCCCCTTCGGCACACCATGGTGCTCAGACCCCACTCTCCTGCTGGTCTCCAGGTTCCCTTCCCAGGGACCCCCATGCCCCGGGTGCCATGCCCTCCTGTGCACCCCAGCACCTGGGGAAGGATGTGGGACAGTTCTGAAAGGACAAGTGTGTCCCCTCACAGTCCTTCAGGCAGTTGAGGGGAGAGGGGCTCCCCCAGGAACCTGCATGCACCCAAGCAACACACAGACCCTGGTGCAAGGGTGGGGGCACTCTGAGCTGGCCAACATGCGGTGCCAAAAGCCCTGGGCTGGTCTGGCTCCACTGCAGCTCCTGGAGGTGACAACGGCAGGGCACAGCCTGGCACACTGGCCTTGCAGTGCCCAACTAAGCAAACCACGTGAGGCAGGAACTGGCTCCAGGATGAGGTAATCTGCCCATCCTCCCCCGCGCCGCTCCGGCCAGGGTGACTCAAAGGCATTCCTGGCCGGTGGCAGCACCACAAGTGCTGGCACTGCCCTGAGCCAGCAGCGAAATGGGCACAGCTCTGGGAGCTGAGGAGTGTTGGAGTCTCCCCTCTCCCTTCTCCTGCCATCACCAACGCGTGCCTGGCTGCAGAGATGTCCCTCTGCAGCGGGGAGACACTGGCCAGGTGAGATGACTCCAAGCTCCCAGTCAGCTCCGGTGGGAACACCTTGCTGGCAAAACTGGCTGCGTTCCCTCACCCTGCTGCTCCCAGCAACGCTGTGCCACAGTCCCAGCCAACAGCACCGGTGGTGGCACCAGGGCTGTGCCCAGCTCCGCAGAGCTGCAGCCCCGGAGGAGCACCTCCGAAACTGAAGCCTCCTGGAATGAAAGTTTATTTATCTGTTTAATTAAGATGTGTTCACCAGGCGCACAGACCCCATTCAATCTGTCTCACTTACAGCCCTGTCCCAGTAAAATTAAACCTAATAAATATCAGCAGAGGGAAAGCAAAGGGCACGTGTGAGATATACGATCAAAGGCTGAAGTTGCACAGGGCTGCAGTTCTCAGCACATCTCTCTCTGCCCTTTGGGGCTGGGCTGGCACTGTGCTCCCCCGCTCAGGATGGGGCTGCCTTTCTTTCAAATCAGCACAATTCCCAGTTTTTTATTTATTTTAAATGAACCCTTCAGGGCTCCTTGGTTTTGTTTTCTGGAAGAGGGAGAACAACATGGCATCGGGACAGGAGTGGTCTTGGCCACTGTTTGGGTGCTGGAGCCAAGGGACAGAGTCTGCACTAGGAGCACTGGTGGGCATGTACCCCCAAAGCACTGAGAGAACTTGCCAGGGACAGTGCAGCACATCTGACTGCTCCAGGCACCGGGAGGGACCTGCCACACACTGCAGAGCTGCTGGGAGGTGCCCGAGGCAGCCAGCGCAGCGCCATCCTCTCCTTGGGAAATGCCAGAAAAGTTCAGGCCTCCTCCAAAGGACACTCCACCATCTGGGAAATTTATCCATGAGGAACGAGGCCCAGGGGTCTGCCTGGAGCTCCGTGCCCCAGCCCTGCTGAGCACGCGGTGGCACGGCTGCGGCACATCCAGGTGCCAAGGGTCCTGCATGGGGCTGCACCAAGCCTTGAGCACCTGTCAGAGCTGCTGCCAGCCCAGACCTGGCCCAGCTCCATGCCCAGATTCCGGCCCACAGGATGCAGTGGGAAATCCAGTGCCTGGCAGCACGATCCTTCCTGGGAGCCCTGCAGATCCTCTCCCAGCAGAGAGGACGGTGCGGTGCCCGGGACCTGCCATGGGGGCACAGTGCACAGCCATGGGGGCACTGTGTATCCCAGGGGCTGCCAGTGTTTAGTAGGACCCTGGGGTCCCTGCAGCACTCTCCCACATGGCAAAGCCAGATGCTGACACTCATGAGAGCTGCCAAGGAGAGCTGCAGATCAGGCAGACATGACCTCTGCCACGAGGGCCATCGAGGCTGGACCAGGGAGATCAGGTGCTCCCGCCTCCCTGGGGTCAGCCTGTGAGTGCAGTGCTGGCAGCCCACCAGCAGCCAGGGACAGTGGTACCAGCCTAATCCTCTCCTCCCACCCACTCCAAAATGCCCCCAAGCCGAGGCATTCATTAATTAAAAGCTCTTTAGTAGTTATTCAAAGACATCAAGCAATTAGATGAAGGCATTGACGGATCTGAGCTGCTGTGTGACAAAGAACACCTCTGCAGCAAAGAAGGTCCCATGTCCCCAGTACCTTGGCTCCAACTTAGGGCATGGACCAGGACAGCAAGAAGGGACTGACAAGCCTCCTTGGCACCCTCTTAAACCTCTCCATCTTTCCCTGTCCTACTCCTCCTCCTCCAGCAGCTCTCAGAGGTCATCAGAGACACTCTGAGTGGCTGCTCTGAATGCCCAAAGATGGAGCACCCAGGTATGACCTCACCAGGTGAGAAGGGGACTGTGACTGAACCACAGTCAGTATCTGAGACAGCAGCTGTGGCAGCAGGAGAGGAGCAGGAACGGAGGGAAAGCACATGGAAGTGTAATGGGATGCAGGGAAAAAAAAACACCCTGTTAAGTGTTCCTGACCCACTGTGGGGGGAACAGGAAGGGCCTGGGGATCTGCCAGCCTCTGGCCAGAGCTGCCAGCATTGTGCAGAACAGGACAGCAGCTGGGCCAGCACCTGGGGATGTTCCACAGCCTCCTGTGTCACCCCTTCTCCTCTGCCCTCGAGCCAAATGGGCAGGGAAAGGAGCCCTGGTGCTCTCCATGTAATGGCACCTCCTTGCAGCCATCCCCTGTCCCCATCATCCAGCACAAACAGGGACACAGGGACCTCGAGCAGCCAGTCCCATCCACGCCCTGACTGCCTGCAGGAGACACAGGGGCAGCGCCACGGGGACACAGCTGACACCCTTGGCTGGGCAGCAAGGGCTGGAGCCTGTCACTGTGCCTGGCTCCTCACCTCTGCCTGCACCACCCTTCCTGAAGCCCCTTTCATTTGACAAAATATTTATATGAAATGGCAATTAGGGTCCCTGGACTAAATGAGAATTAACCTGCAGCAACAGCACTGTGGCAGAGCAGCTGCTGCTGAACTCCTCGAGCCTACAGGCCAGGTGGGCAGTGCAAATGGATGTACCGTGTTCGCAGGTCACCAGGGCCAGGACCATGGCCACCGCTGCTGGGATCAGGGCCACCACCAAGCCTGGGGCCACCACCAGCACCACCAGGCCCAGCACAGATCGAGAAGGAGGAAGGACTGATGGAGGATGATGCAAAGGAAGGAGCAACTGCAGACCAGGAACCTGCAATGCCACATTCCCAAGGACCCCTCTTCCCTGAGACCAGCTCCACTGCCTGACAAAGGGTT